TTTTTTTATAGAAAAAATATAAAAATTATCTCGAATATACAGGAATTGTACTGATAATATAGGAATTGTATTCAATCACGAAAATTGAAGTTAACATTTAAAAATAATTTTTTTAATACATCCTTTGATAAATATATGCATTAAATGATAATAAATGCATGTGAAATATATGTATATAAATTCATAAATCTTTTAAATGTTATATAATAAATAAATAAATAATAATAATAAATAATAATAATAATAAATAAATCCGTATATAAATCTTTTGAATAAAAATAAATTTTACAGTGCAATGAACAAAGTTAAATAAAATAATAAGAAAAAGATAAATATAGAGTAAGAATTAATCATTAGTGGTCTTTATTATTTTTTTTAGACATATTAATTATATTTAAAAATTTTCTATATTTATAATTTATTTATTATCATTAATTATTATTATATGTATATATATGCATATGTATATATGTATCAAAAGTTTCAATATTTTTCAAATAGATGGTGTAATTAGTTAAAGAACTCGAGCAAATTCTTGTTATTGCTGGTAATAATATATAACAAGTTTGAGCATTTTTTAAAGAGATGGAGTTATTGGTTAAATACTAAAAATGATTATATTTTTATATGATTATATGATTATAGACGAAGTTTATTAATATTACTTAATAATATTTAATATTTAATATTACTTATTAAATTATTATTAAAACTTATTAATATTATAAATTAATATTATTACTAATATTATTATAACTTAAATTATTATATTAAAACTTGAATAATTTTAAAGAGAATTTTAATATTATTAATTTTTCTGTAAGTATAATTAAAACATTATAGTTTTAATAAAGTTTTTAATATAGTTTTTGATAAGTTATGTTACAAGTTATAAATGTAAAAAAAGTTAAAAATATATTGAAAATATTTTAATATAATTAAAAAAAGAAGAACAAGAATCACTAATAATATTATTATGATATTTCCATTCAAAAAATAATAAAATTATATCATCTTTAATCTATGAAAGAATAACATATAAAAAGATAAAGAAATAAAGAGAGAAAAACATTATTAAATTTTGAGAAAATTACTCGCATTAATAAAACGGGATACTGTATTTTAAATATAATCAAATTTTTTATGATGCATACTAAATGATATGATATAACATTGGCAAAAATATGAATCATTTGCAATAAAGAAAAGTATTTTCTGTTTCTGCATTTGAAGATTAAAAACTTGCGACAGAAGGACAACCAGTTTTCGGATCGCGATAGTCCGGTAAGCAATTTACTTTCGGTTTCGGTTTCACTGATGAAGGAAGGTTTAATGGAATGAAAAAAAAAGTGAGAACAGAGAACAAATAAACAGAGAAAGAGGGAAGGAGACCATTATAAAAGAAATGATAATTGAGTGTCCAAGATGATAGGATATCATTACTTCAACTATAAATTTGTTATGTTAATTAATTCATAGAACAGATTTATATATTATGCGCTAATCAGATAAATATATATATTTATTTTTATTTCAAATGTACATTTAAAATACATACATGTTGACAAATATTAATATATAAAATTAATAATAAATGAAATATAATAATAAAATATTTATATTGTATTATTTTTTATTTTTACAGCATAAAATGAAGTGATTATAAATATTTAAAATTATAGATATTTTTATTAAAGAATATCTATAAATAATACATATAAATATATAATAATAAATATATGTTTGAGTAATATAATGTAGCCAAATTGGCAAATTTACATTCTCTTATGAAATGTCATAAACGGCTTAAGATAAATGATTTGATTTCATTTTAATTTCGTTTTCTCCATGATTATGCTTTTCACTTTCTTTTTTGTCATAATAAATAATAATTACTTAATCTAAAATAATAATAACGTTTACAAAAAAATGATTCAATATTATGATGTCAATTTATTATTTTATGTTGCTAATTTAAAAAAAAAATTATTTGATTTTAAAAACATTAATTTTACATTAAATTTTTTTAAGTCTAATAAAATTTTATAATTATATTTTATAGATTTTCTCTAAAATCAAGTATTAATTTTAATCATAATAATTTTATGATAAATTAAAACTGAATTTAGATTAAAACTGAAATTAGATCAAATAAAACAAAAACAGCTTTACTTATAAGAAAGATCACTTTTTACTTATAAGAAAGATCACTTATAAGAAATTACCGAGAAGGAGAAGATTTATTATTTAATAAAAAAATAAAAATTGAGATGACGAAGTTTTGTTTGACTATTAAAATTTCGCAACGTTTTCATCTTAATCGAAAGGATAAAAATCGATCGTCATTCCTTTGATCCATACCTGACCTTGATACACATGTAAGTAGGTATTGAGTAAGATTTAAATGATTATATATATTTGCAGACTAAATTTAAAAACCAGAACATTTATTAAAAAAAGATGCAAATATAATTCATCGATTATGCAAATAAAAAATTTTAAATTTGAAACCAATGATTGCATAACTGTCTCAAAATAAATAATTTTTAATCAGTTTTTATTATACAATTATATCATTTTTATTAATATACAATGTGAATCGAAAATTAAAAAAACAATAATTAGTTATCATTTTTAAATGACAAATATAAAAAATATTATTTTTTTGATAAATTACATAAGTGATGATCATTTTGTAGATTAATCTATATTATTATTCAAAAACGCGATTATTCTTGTGATAATAACAATGATGTAAAACTCGTAAATTTATGTTTATTTTACGTTTTGAAATATAATTAAATTTATATAATAAAAAGATTTATAATAATAATAATAATATTTATATAATAATGAAATAAACAATCTTATTAACATTATTAATAAATTATAGTAATAGAAACAAAATTGAAGATATTTATATTAAATCGAATCATAAATAATAATTGGATAAGTGAATAAATGAAATTCGATTTTTTTAGATTTTAATCTAGTTTTATCATTCTATGTTTCATTTTTAAAATAATCTTATACAATTATAATAGGAGAATATAAATGTAATATAAAATACTTTAAAATTGCCAATAAAAAATAAGTACGTTGCCAAAAAAAAAAAAGAGAAGATCACCTTGATACATTTATCGAAAAAATAAGTACAGCAATTGCAAATAAAAAGATGTGAACTCTTTACAACTTACGTAAAGAAAAAAGTTTTTATTATTTTCAACATTAATAAAACACATTTTATTATAAATTATCGTATCTATTGTTTTTTAATCTTTAAATGAAATTAAAATATTGTTCAATTATTGAATTTTGATTACTTTGTTATGTTAAATGGAATGATACGATTTCATACGATTGATTCAAGAAACGTTATTTTCTCTTTTTTTTAACAGGAACTCGCGTCATTTAACGTCCACATTTCGTGAGTGATAAATTTTACACGGACCCTCAAATATATGAGATGAATAACAATCGAATTCTAAAAGCGCATCGACCTAACTGAATTCAATGTTTTCACTTTCGAACACTTATCACTAATCCTTTAGCATTCAAATTGTTCCATTCTATTCAATTGTCTATTACTATTTATAAATTGATGAATTGATGCAAATTTATTTTTCAATCATATCTCATAATTAATTTCTTTATAATAAAAGTAAAAATTCTTCAATTAAATGCGAGTATAATATTTTTTTTAAAAAAAAAGAAAATTTTATCTCTATCATTATTTATTGTAATCATATTGTAATTCTTTAAATAAATTATTATTTTAAAAAAATTAAAAAAAAATTTTAATTATTCATTGTATTTTGTATAATGTATTGATTTATCGCTTAAAAAATAATGTTTATTGATAGAAATAAACTATAAATATATATCAATTTTAGTATTGAATTATTAATTTCACAATTAATTTTATAATTAATTCAATACTAAATTTAAATATAATTTCAATAAATAATATTTTTATTAATCAAACTGATCACAATCAAGAATCAATAGTAATCAATATTTAATTAAAAAGCAATTATTTATATTTCTATTACGTTATTACATCATTATTAAGTTATTTTATGAATTCTTAATGATATATAAATTTTTTTCCAATATTTACAATTATATAATGAATCGATTTACTTATATTACAGCGAAAACAAGGCAAATAATTTTTCATAAAAATTGGGTGCTCCAAATGATTAATCTAAAATTGCGAAACACCGAAATTAATGACCATGTCATAGAAAAAGAGAGATGCATAAGTGCCAATTCCTATGAGGGAGCAGGTTTCTCGAAGATTGAACACGTGGAGAAGTAAAGTAGATCGACCCAGTTTTGGTCAACTTTAAGTCTTTGTTCATATGGGAGGGGTACCGGAACGATGGTTTTGTAAGAAGGGGTCCCCCTTTACTACGTGGCCATATAAGTAACGTCTGCTGCCACTGAAGAGGCAGAGTCTTGCACCCCTTCGTTGATTCGAACGTCGTTTCATTTTTTAGCGACCAAGGTAATTTTGATTTTGAGATCAGATTAGCCAAAAGACTTATTTTTACATGTTCAATGATTCTGATGGATATTTAAATTGATAATTTTCTTATTTCCATAATAATTCTTCTTCTATAGTAGTAATTCACTTGAACTTTATTCTAAATTATACATATAATAATGTAATGTAAAATAAATTTTTGGAATACTTGTTAATCCTAATAATTTTTAATGAAGATAATTTTATTAGAGAATGGATATTTATTAAAATAAATTTTTCAGAATATTTTTTAAGAAAGTAACAATTTCTTTCTATCTGAAACAGGAAAAATTTTCTATCTTTTTTAAATATTAAAGTCAAACTCTTTATATTATTTCTTTTCAAAATATTTATTATATAGAAATTTATATTTTCATTTTTCAAAATATATAAAATTAAGTTAAAGTTATATAAGTAATATTATAAACGATATATGATCAACTATATTAGGTATTTATCATATTATTCTAGAATGCAATTTGGAATTCTCTTCTCGGTGGTAGCGACATTGCTACAGACTAGCTATGGTGGCTTTGTATCCATCAGGATGCCGTACTTGAATCCAGCAGGTGTAACTTATATAAATAATATCGAACCTGAAGCTCAGCTTGCTTATAGCATTCCTGCTAAAGTCGAAGCCCAACACGTTGGATATGCAGCTGCTCAAGTTCCAGCAGTGGCTACTGTACCTTTCGTCAAACATGTACCAACTGTTTCTCATGTACCAATTACTAAAATTGAAGCACAACCTGCTGTTTTGGAAAAACAATTAGATGTGGTAAAACCGGCCGTTTCTACTCGTAAATTCGAAGTAAATAATTTTTTAATTTAAAAAATAATTTTTTTGCTTTCTCTGCCTTTTACTGATTCCTCATGACTTTTCCTTCTCTTTATTTGATTCTTTTACATTTTTTCTTTTAATTTATATTTTGATTAGATTCTTTTATCATTTTTCTTTCATTTACAAGAATAATTTTCAAATTTTTCTTTTTCTTTATATTTAAATTTTTTTCATTTTCTTTTATTAATTTCACTTTAAAAACTTAAAAAAATAATACTTTTCACTAGGTACGTCGTCCAGCAATTCAAAAGCAATTTTATGACATTGAAGAACGCGTAGTTGTTCGTCCAGCTGGCTCAGCAGTAGTTGAACTTGATCAACCAACTTCCAAAACTCAGAAAGGACCAGCTGTGATTCAACCTTTGGTCCAACATTTCGAAGCAACTCAAACTCTTCCATCTCCAACAGTTTCTTCTCCTCCAATTTCTAATGATGATGAAACTGTTGTAGTAGAAAATCCTGAATTTCGCAAACTCAATGTTCAGAATCAGGTAACGTTTAAACTATTAATTAAAAATTAATTTAAATTAATTCTTCTTTATGAATAATTAAAATTTACTTTTTTCCTAGGCTAGTGGAAGTTTACCTCAATTAAAAACTAACTTGAACGGTGCATTATCGAATGAACCTCTCGTTGCTCATGATCCCTCACCAAGTGTTATCGTTAGTCCCAATTCCTCTCCTGAACAGGACCAACAAAATCAAAACAAATTGATCGAATTGCTCACTGCTCGTGGTAATGTTGCTGAGGTAATTATTGTTATAAGATATTATTATAATATTACTATAAAAATTATTATAAAATTATTATTATAAAAATTATTTTAAAATATTATAAAAAAAAATAATTATAAAAAAATTGCTAGTTATCTAATTATTTGATTAATTAGTACTTTTTTTCAACATAACTCTTGTTAACAATTAATCTGATTAAATGAAAGCTTTATCTTTAATATTTATTTATCATATTTTGTATTTATGAATATTATATTTTTAAAGGTTGGATTCGGTCGTTCTGGTCCCTCTCAATCCGCAATTGGAGATGTTGGCCAGGTTCGAGGTCGAGTAATTTCCGCCACTCCTGCTCCGGAATCTGCGGAACCAGCTGATGAACGAGTTTCTACAAGACGTGTCGTGATTAGCAGACCAATTGAAACTCTTCAAGAAGTGAATGTTGTGGAACCAGCAACGAAAATAGAAAGAGTATCCGTACAACAACCTACCTTTATAAAAACCGCGCGTTTGGATCATGTTCAAGTTCATAGTTCTGTCCCTGTAATCGGAAAAGCTCTTGCACCAACGATTGCTCATGCTGCTGTTCCGGTTTATCAGAAAACCATTTCGCCAGCTTATGAATATTATCACTAAATCAACTGACGACTTGTGATGTTACTTGTTTCCTAATATTTTAAAATAGAACTAATGAATATATATTGTGCTATATTAGATTTATGTCCATGATTGAATATTTATGTTAAAAGAAATTAAAATTACAGGATTTTATATTAATTTTTAAAATTTTAAAATAATTCTTTTATGAAAAGAATTTTATAATTTTTTTATGAAAAGAAAGATTATACATGTTGTAAAATTGTATTTTTTAAATTGAAATAATTTTTCATATTATTTCTGTTAAAAAAATTATATCCTATAAACAAATGAAACCTTGTATACTTTATATTTATTTTATATTTTGGAAAATGTTTATAACTATAAAAAAATGAAATATGATTGTTTTATTTCTTATGCTTATTCTTAAACCTGTTCATTTGAAGTATAGAAAAATTTTGAAATTATTCGGAGGATTTCCAAACTTTGTTAACTTATTGATAAAGAAATTAAAAGATTAAAAAAATTAAAAAATTAATTAATAATTTAATTAATGGAATTTTATAATTAAGAGATATTCATATATTTGAAATTATATTCCTTAAAATATGGTTTGCAATATTGAATTTAAAAATTCAATAACAATCTTTAAAATTTACAATAATTAAATTAAGTAAATTCAAAAACAACTTTATAAATTTATTTTAAAACATTTTATTACTTTTTTCTTTTTAATACAGTTAAAAATACCTATATAAAGTATATAATTATTAAAAAAGAATAAAAATAATTAGATAAAATTAAACTAAAAACATAACTATTAAAAAAAAATATAAAAGATTAAATATGTTCAATATTGAATGCTGTACAAAACTTTTCGCAATCAATTTGTGTATAATAATAATCTCATAAAATGTGAAAGGTTCTAATTACAAAATAAAATACAAGATCTTATGTATCCTTCTTTGCATAACTTTTGCATAACTATTTTTTCTTTCACATTTTTCATAATTTCTTTAAATCATATGCATTGTTCAGAATAAGTTAACAATAACTTCTTATAGCAGGCAAATCAATTTTGACAAGGATAACCACTGCCTCTGGATATTCCTATAAGGACATAACATTGACCTAAATACCATTAAATAAATATGACTTTATATCTATATTCGTTCCCTTGCTTGTTTTTCACCGTAAATAATCGAAAAGGATTTGCATGAAATTCGAACGTGATAGAAGAAAGCGTAGTCGATTACATGATTACTGCACAAGGAAAGCAAAGAAACTTGAAATTGCAAATGATATATACTATACAATATATAAATTTGTCATAATAATATAGTGAATTGTAACCGGAATTCAATTATTAACAAAGACACGTATATATGTTACCTGTATACATAATACATAAACCGGAAAACTATGTTGACCAAAAAAATCTTTAAGAATCTGAGTAGTTAGCTTACCAATCATGGAACATACATAACATAATAATTTAATAAATCTTCTAAAATTTTTTTTTTAAATTGCAAACTACTATAACAAATAATTAAATTTAAATAATTAAATTACTTTTTTTATTATTTTTATTTTACTTTTTTTAAATTCATTTAAAAAATTTCAAAATTTTTCTTATATTTTTAAGTTATAATAATTTCACTAAAAAAATTTAAAAGAAAAAGAAAATTTAAGAAAAAGATTATTATTATCAAAAAAATAAAAAAATATAAAAATGTAAAAATTACAGTTGATTTTTAACTTTTATATTTAAAAATTTTCTATTATTTTTTTAAATTAAACATATGATTTTCTTAAATATTATTTTTCCTTATTTATAAAATTTTGCAATTATTTTTGATAATACTATTTTTGATTACTATAAATAAAATAATATGTATAATAGCTTAATTCGGGAATAAATAAATTTAAAAAATAATGAAAATTCTGACATACTATAAAATCGATTTCCAAGCACGTAGAAACATTACACTCACCAAATTTCATGGTACACATTGATTTGAATCGAGCGATTGTTTTTAAAATACAACTTTTAACATATTCATCGTGCGTAAACTGGTGAATCGACCGAATGCCGCACCTATTGAATTATTATTCTTCCAAAGAAAGTGAAAACCAAAAAAAAGTTTCAGAATATTCTATACAAGACAATATGATTCAGCTTATTTGTGTTTTATCGATTTATAATAATTCACTTATAGAAATTCTACTGATGAATTCTTGACTAATTTCTAATTAATTATAATTATAGAATTATTAAGGAATTAAGGTAAAAAATTTCAAAAGTTATAAACAATGATGAAAGAAAAGAAAAAAAGAATAAGACTTTTTAAAAATTTCTAAAGAAAAAAACAATAAAAAAAATTTTTTCAAAAAGAAAATAATTAAAAAAAAATACAAAAAGATTTGACAAATTTTTAATTCAGAACAATATAAGTCTTCTATATTTTAAATATTTATTACTTCTTAAAATATTTTTTCATAAAAACAATCTTTTAAAATGATTTTTCTAAAATCAAATTTACTTGCTTTATTAAACTTATATTTACTTACTTTATTAAACTTATAATCTTCTTATAGTTTTTCTAATGAAAAAACAAATCACAAAAATTAGATATTTCTTTTCTTTATATTTTGTTTATAATTCATAAATCTATGCCACATGATCCAAAATTTATCTTGGATAAAGTATATCGAATATTCAATATCCCTTACTATAAATAAAGCACTCAAGAATCAGGAAGATCATAGATAAATGCAAACAAGCAATGATTACGATTTGAAGGAATCTTCACCCTTGAAATGAAGGAACGAATGACCTCGTCGATAAGGTCGGTAGAAGTCAGAAGACAGATAATGACCAAGAAAACGTCGACAGTAACCTTAGTAACTTGTATTGAAGTAACAGCTACTATATAAGTAACACTGTAACGAATCTTGAATTCAGTTAGACACGTGCAAGAGAAATAACTAGATCTGTGAACCAAGTAATCAAATGTTCAAAAGGTGAGTCTGCTTGCGCAGAAAATCCAGCATCACAAGAATTGATCGAAATACAAGAAAAGAATTAGAGAATTCCTGTCAAGAGGATCAGCAATTTCTCAACTCATATTTAATAATTATAAATAGTGTATAGCTCAAAATCTCACGAGAGAAATATTCTCTTGAAATTTCTGTGTTAAATATTTACTTCATGTGAATTGAATGATAATATAAAAAAAGTGATATACGAAGAAAAACTTTTACGTGCAATTTTGAGCGATGTACTAGCGCATGTGTAGAATAGATATAAAGTTTGAATTAGAGTACTGATTCAGCTATCGTAAATTCCTTTTTTTTTTTAATATCTTAATTTATAATAAATATCTTTTATTATAAACTCGTTATGATTCATATTTCTTGTTTGGTAAAGTGATTATAATAAAATACTTAAAATTAAAAATTTTAAAACCATCTCTTTTTTATAATTTTAAAATGACAAAATTATTAGTTTAAAATAGACAAAGTTTACTCTTTCCAGAATCTTGCATAAATATGAATATAATAATTGTGCTTATGATCGTGATGGAATTATGCGTGGCCTCACCACAATATTATCTCCCCTCGGGATTCGTATATCAACATCCAGCAAATCTACTGAATTCGGCGATAGAAAACACTTTACCAAACGAATTGCGAAATAACTTTTACAAAAATCCACAAATTGCTGCCAAACTCGCAAAAGAATCATGGATTTTCAACAAAGAAATGCAGGTAAAATTTTTGTTAGTTTTAATATTTTTTTCATAATATTATTAAAACATATTATAATTAATAAGTGTCAATTGATTTTGAAACGAGGTTGATGGATTTAGTTCTGAAATCTGAGAATATGACCTTCACTACTCTCTCTTATACCTTTTTTATCTCTATCTTTTATTGATATATCGCATTTCATTATGAATTTGTAGTACAATATGTATCTAATACTTCTAATACTTTTTAATCTTTTCATTTACTGTTTTTTTTTTTTAATGAAAAAAAATAATTTATATTAATATCATTTCTTGATATTTTTTTAATAAATATTCTAATATTATCATCATTTAATATTATCATTTTTAGTATTTTATTAGTGTTTCTTTATAAAAATTTAATGATATATATAATAAGAAACTAATGATACATTATAATTGTAATGTTTCTTTTTATTGTAGGTAATCGATCGTGAAACAGATAAAATACCACGGGAAAAAGTATATAATGTTCTTCACAATGCAGGATTTGTGCGAAAATAAAAAAATAATAAAAAATTCTTAATAATTGTTTTTTTTAATTTTTTATAACGATTCTTCTAGATCCTTCTATATCATTCTATCTTATATTTTTTTATTAATATTTATATATTATTTTATTATTTTTAAATTTATTTGAAAAAAAAATATAATTATTATGAAACAAAATTATATGTATAATGAATTTTTTACTTCTTTATAATTTAAAATTTTGTTTTCAAAATACAAACAACTAATATATATAATTGATCGATTTTTAATGTGCATTATTTAAATATATTAAATATTTATGAATGCATTATATATAGACTCATATTCATAAAAATTATAAATTTTTAAAGAATTAAAACAAATATTTTTTATCAAACCACTTAATTAAGTATTATTAAAATCAGAACTATTTAATTAAGTATTATTAGAATCAATTCAGAAATATAAAGAATATTTAATTAAATACATATATATATATTTTATTTATTAATTTAATTGTATAAACTATAATAAGATATATAAAAGATTCAAAAATAGGTTATCATATTTTTATAAAATTTTATCAATGTATTATTTTTCTTTGCATAATTTATATTTTTCACAAGATTCTAATAAAATATCTATAATGGATATATCTTCACCCATTATGTAAAGTGACTTTTTATGAATAACTTGATGCACATTAGTATGTAAAAAACTATGTATTTTTTCTAAATAGTTATCTATTTCATTTGCATATAATACACCTTTGCTTTCATAACGTAAGATATGTGGATAATAATTTTCAATTATGCGATTTAGATATCGCGCTATATTTATTTCGCCTATTATTTTATGCATTCCTGGTAATTGCATTATAGGATCAATACCAATTTCTTTCCAAATTATTGTTAAATGAATGTCATTAATTTGATTGCCTTTTTTATATTCCAAACAAAAATCTGATAATTCGTTTGGAAAATGTTGCACATTGGAATGTACATGAGATGTCACAAAAATGTTAATGTAAGATTTTACATAATGAAAAAATGGTTCTATAAATCTGATTGGATGTTTTGGATCACAAAATAAAACAAGTTTTTGCTTTTCGAATTTTCTGATACATTTAGATTCTCTTTCAAGTTTGTTTATTTCTTGTTTCATGTCTTCAAGCTTCTTTGTTTGAGAAGAATTGTGACTAATCCTGTCAGAAAGGTATATATATAGTATTTATTTTATTTATTTACTTATTTAATAAATAAAATTTTATACATTGAATGAAAAAAAATTAATCTACAAAGTTTATTATAAAATTATAAATTCATTTTAATTTCAATATTGTAATTATTTGCATAAATATTTTAATAATAATTAGAAAAATATTTACTTGTTTAAGCGACAGATAGGATTGTTGTAAACCATTTCCAAATCTACTTTTGGTCCAACTAAATCTCGTATATTATTTAACCCATATTTAATCATAGTTGGTCTAAGAAAAAACAGATATAATTAAAAATTTAATAATATATTCATGATGCAGATATCAATTATTATATAGATATTAATTATTTTTCTGTTACCTTTCTAAAGATAATCCCCAAGCAATTACATTTACATCTTTAGGTAATCCCATTGGTAATAGCATTTCTGGTCTGAACATTCCACTATTACCAATTTCTATCCATTTTTTCAAGCCCTCATGATAACAAAAAATTTCCATACTAGGTTCCGTATATGGATTGTACGCGGGTTTAAACTGAAGCTGTATAATACCAAGTTTCTTAAAAAATTCATATAAAATTCCTATCAAATCACCTAATGTGAGATTATAATCTGCAATAACACCTTCAATTTGATGAAATTCGGCTAGATGTGTAGCATCTAAAGTTTCATTACGAAATACTCGATCAATACTGAAATACTTCACTGGTTTAAATTTATTCTGAAATTTATAAAAATTTCTTAACTTTTAAATTGACATTTAAATTTTTTATTTAATTACCTGTTGCATAAGCTTATAAAGCATTCGTGCACTAACAGCTGTTGTATGAGTACGAAGAACATTTTTTTGAGCTTCTTCAAGTTTCCAATCATAACGATAACCAAGAGATCCATAGTCTCCTTCACTATGAACTTTTTTTACTTTTTCCATATAATCTATGGGAAAGTTTGTACTGTGAGATGGCTCTGAAATAAATATTTTATCCATATTAATTATCCATATAAATACATTTAATTTAAAAAATTTATTAATAAAATATACCAGCTATAAAAAATGTATCATGTGCATCTCTTGCTGGATGCTGTTGAGGTTGAAATAATGCATCAAAATTCCAAAAAGAACTTTCTACATAATTATTGGTTGGCATTTCAGTAAATCTAAAAAGTGAAAAAAATATGTAAGAAAAAAATATTGAAAACATGCATACAAAATTTAAAATTTATTTAAATAAGAAAAATAAAAATAATTTTTTCTTTTACATACCCCATTTCTAAAAAAATTTTTCTAAATTCGCTTCTTACTTTTAACAATGGATGCAAATGACCCACTTCAAGAGTAGCACCAAGTGCTGCAAAATTATATGGTTTAAATTTTTTATTTTTCCATGCACCATTTATTAACAAATCAGCAGTTAATTCTGTTTCTTGTTTTTCAATTGTTGTTGTAAAATTTGGACCTTTTTCTACTTGTATAGATTTAATAATTCTGTTAAGAAAATTATTTATGTAATATAATTTTTTTTTAATTAAATTAATAAAAAACTTACACTTGTTGAATCAATTTTCTCTTTTTATAATCATTTCTAAGCTGATCAGTTAAACTTGTTAGATCCTTTAAATCATTTTGTATAATATCTATAATAGAAGTTGCTTTCTTTTTCACAATAGGTATATCATTACTTTTGTCAATTACAATCCACCCAGCTTGTAATGCTTTTGAAAATCCAATTTTTGCAAAAGGAATTGATTGTATAATTTCAGATTGTGGCATTCCATCATCAGGAATTGCATTATAAATTGCTGCTTCATGACTTCCATAATTCACGACATGATGACCTTCCGATGTTAATTCCCATTTCTTATCAATAATTTGCTTACTGGAAATTAACTATAATGAAAATATAAAATATAAAATAAAATGTAATTTAAATAATATTTTTATAATAAAAAAATTTAAAAAACGAGAATAGAAACTTTAAGGTTATAATCAAATTTCTTCCTCCAAAAATTCGATAAATTTATTTATAAATACGCATTTTTATAATAAAACATTTTAAAAACATTTTAAAATTAAAAATAATAATTTTTTAAAGTCATTATTATAAAAACATATAATTATGACACACATAAATATATATAATTTGTTGTTAACTTACATCACCAACTGCTTCAAGACTCTTGATAGCTCCAATAATTTTTTGATGATTTTCTTTAAAAACTTCAGCCAAATATAAAGAATTTAATTTTCCGTACTTATCTATATAATCCAATATTTGATCAGTTAGTTGTTGTTTTGCCATGTTTGAAGAGATAATGATTTATATTTTACATTAAAACTACCGGTAAAGATCCACGTGAATCATACGTGAATACTATAAAATATCAATAATAATAACATATGGATAAGTATAATTAAATAAAATTAAATTTAATGTATATAATTTATTTTTACTACTTCATATTATATATTTACATATATATGAAATCATCAAAATATATTAAAAATTTATTAATAGCAAAATTCATAATTTAAAATATATATATATATATATTTATAAAATATATTATATATTTTTAGAAATTTAATTTCTTACATAAAAATATATTATATTATAAAAATATAATATATTATATTAATAATATATTATAAAAATATATTTATATAATATTACAATTTTATGATAATAATCTTCTATATATCACATCTTAAAAGTACTTAAAAGATTTATAAAAAAAGACTTATTAATTTGTATTTTTATTTTGTATTTTATTTACATTTACATTATAAATATAAATTATTTTAATGGAATAAATCTTGAAAAATAGATAATACGAATACCTAGTCTATCATGTTTTACAAGTTTGTAAGTAATAGAAAATCTAAGTAATGACAATCATTTCAGGTTTGATTTCAACTTGATTAAATGTTTTAGCATTTATAAACGACAATTAAGCCTACCATTTTAGGTACAATAATCATATTACGCAAATTTAACATTAATATATATATATATTAATTTCTGGTTTTTCATTCAGTGGTATTTTTTTTTTTGCTTTATGCAGTTTTTTTTACTAGAGCCATGGATTTTCTTTTTCAAATCATGAGAAAATCGCCTATGAGCACGGGCATGCATTAAAATCATAAGCTATTCACTAGACAAATATAATTTAAAGATTATATAAAATGTATATCTAAAAATAATATAAATGTATAACTAAATATTTATTATTATTTTCAATTGATTTTTTTAAATTGTAGTAAATTAAAATTACTTTGGCATATCAAAAAGTTGATCGAAATCAACTCCCTGAAAGATAAACTTTCTAAAAATCTTTTTTCTTTTGAATTTTTTCTGTTTAAAAATCATATGATAAAATTTATAAGAGATTATGTCACGAATGGAAAATACATTTATTATTTAATAATATATTAATTATTTTTACATATTAATATTATATCTTTTGAATAAAAAAAATATCTTATTTTAAAATATTTATTTTTGACTTTTTGAACTAGATGAAAAAGATTTTATCGGATATATTTATTATCTATTAATCATACCTCAGCCATGTTTTCAATTTTTTTAAAGAAACGAAAACAGCGCTTTTCGTTTTATAGGATAAAATTCCGGCACTAACTAAATATTACTAGATGAAAATCTAATATAACTACTTAAATATTGACTGTTTTTCTACTTGTCTATTTTTTAGGAAGAATATTATTCAAATTATATTATGAAATTATATTTAATACTAATTATATATTAACATTTATAACATATATTATATATTATTAACATTTTAATTATTTAACATCTTTTTTATTTTATTAAAATAAAAATATGTTATATTAAAAAATATACCAAATAATGTTTTTTTAAATGATTTTTTATTTACGTCAACTAATATGAAATATATCTTTTTTAAATAATTTTTAAATAATATTTATCCAATCATTATGAATTAACATCACCTAAATAAAAAAATAATCAACATTTAAAGATTTATACAAAATAAATTTAATTAAAAATCCCGCCAGATAATATTTTTCATTTTATATAAAAAAAAGTACTGTCAAAGTGGCGCTAAATCATGATTAGTACTCTTATACATTTTATAAGAGGCTGCATGTTCCCATTGGACCCAGATATTATCCAATAAAATTGAGAAACTTTAACTAACAGACATATATGAAGAAATCGATGCAAACGTTTTGTCTTGGATTGCTTATAAAATAATGAAATATATTTTAGTAACTGGTGGTGTAATTAGTGGAGTCGGCAAAGGTGTTATTGCGAGTTCATTTGGAACTATACTTAAACATTGCGGTATTCATGTGACATCTATTAAGATAGATCCTTATATAAATATTGATGCCGGTACTTTTTCTCCTTACGAGCATGGTATGTTATTTACAATTTATTTTTTAAATCATTTCATTTGAATGAAATAACATCCACAATAAATATTTGTGTAAAAAAATCTGAAATTTTAATATAGCTATGTGATAGATCAGAACCTATTTTATATATTGCTACCGCGCAATTTTATAATCACGTGTGATATTTCTAAAAACATTTTTTATTCTAATAATTAATATAATATTATAATTATATATTAATATATTAATATATTAATATAATAATATAATTTTTTTTAAATGCAATGAAATTTATGAATTTTGTTTTGTTCAAATTGCTATTTCATTATTTATTTAAATAAAGTTATAAATAAATATTGTAAATAAATATTATGATATACATCATATTTTTTTCATTAAATTATTTATTTTTTATTTATTAATTTTTGTTTTATTTTTCAATTTAAGTAATTAATATTTGAATATTTAATTTTTTTGGGTAATATTATATTTAATTAAGGTATATAATTAAGGTATATATTTCATTATTTATTTTATTTCATCAATTAGATAAATATAATATTAATTAATAATATTTTTCCAGTTCTATATTTTTTAAATTACAAAAAAATTTTAACTTTTTTGTAAAAATAAAATATAAATATCATTTCAGTTGCAAATTTTTTATATTTTAGGAGAAGTATATGTATTAGATGATGGTGGAGAAGTAGATCTTGATTTAGGAAATTATGAGCGTTTTTTAGATATTACTTTACACAGAGACAATAATATCACAACAGGAAAAATTTATCAACATGTAATATCAAAGGAAAGACATGGTGATTATTTGGGAAAAACTGTTCAAGGTATATGCAATTTTGTTAAATCTTATTTTAAAAATTAAATTATAAATCACTTTAATAAATAAGTTTTTTTTATTTTTCTGTAGTAATACCTCACATAACGGATGCTATTCAAGAATGGGTTGAAAGAGTTGCAAAACAATCAGTAACAAAAGATGGTGATAAACCAGATGTAATTTGGATATAATACTTAAATTTAAAAAAAAAATTTTTTACATGATATAAAATTAATCAAAATTTTATTTTTTACAGGTTTGCATTGTTGAATTAGGTGGAACTATAGGAGATATTGAAGGAATGCCATTTGTAGAAGCTTTTAGACAATTTCAATTTAGAGTAAAAAAAGAAAATTTTTGCTGTGCACATGTATCTTTAGTGCCTCAAGTATGAAATTGTTTTTATTTAATATTTTAACTTTTTTCATTATCCTAGACCTTGACTTTGAATTTGAGCCAAATATCAAATTAGTTTATTCTTTTAAACTTTTAAAATTATATAACTTTTATTTATAAAGACTTATAACTATATTTATATATTTATAATTACTATATTTATAATTAATTTAACTATCATAACTATATTTATAATTAATTTATAAATTATATTTATAATTGAAAAAGAAAAATAATAAGAAAAAAAATTTTTAATATTACATATAATACATTTTTTTAGCCAAGATCTACAGGAGAACCAAAAACAAAACCAACTCAATCCAGTGTAAGAGAACTACGTGGATTAGGTTTGTCTCCTGATCTCATAGTTTGCAGATCTGAACAACCAATAGGCGATTCTGTAAAAGAAAAAATTTCGAATTTTTGTCATGTTGCTCCAGAACAAGTATTTTTTCAATTCTTTAATTTTAATAAAATCTTGAAAGAAATAATTATAAAACTAATAAAAGTTTATATTTGTTAGGTTATAACTATACATGATTTGTCATCTATATATCGTGTTCCTTTATTGATGGAATCTCAAGGTGTAATTGAATTTTTAAATGATAGGCTACAATTAAATATCGGAATGCCACGCCCTCGATATTTTATGCGAAAATGGAGAGATTTGGCAGATCGTATTGATCATTTACGAAAAGAAGTAAATATTGCATTAGTAGGAAAATATACAAAATTAGAAGATTCTTATGCATCAGTTACAAAAGCATTACAACATGCTTGCATCCAAGTTGGTTATAAACTTAAATTAACAGTAAAGTATCAAATCAAAATATCTACTTTTTATTTAATTTATTATTATGATATTATATTTGTCTAATTATTTTTACTTAAAATAATTTTAGTATATAGAAGCTGATAATTTAGAACAAAGTACAAAAACAATAGATCCTGTATTATATCATGAAGCTTGGCAACAACTTTGTAAAAGCAAGTAAGTTATTTTTTTTTGTTATTAATATATTAATTATATGTTACAGAATTATGTTTTGTTTTTTAACTATTTTTAATTATATTTTTGGATTTCGTTTTTTTAGTGGTGTTGTTGTACCAGGTGGTTTCGGTAAAAGAGGTATGCAAGGAAAAATGGAAGCATGTAAATGGTGTAGAACAAATGATAAACCATTTCTCGGTATTTGTTTGGGATTACAAGTAGCAGTAGTTGAATTCGCAAGGAATGTTTTAAATATAGAATCTGCAAATAGCATGGAAATTGATCCAGAAACAGATCATCCTCTCGTTATAGATATGCCTGAATATAATCCAAAACAAATGGGTGGAACTATGAGACTTGGAAAAAGATATACTCGGTTTACAGAAAATAATTCTGTCATAAGTTAGTAATAAATTGTTTAGTATTTAATACAATTTAATATTTTTGTTTTTGTATTAATTAATTATTTCATTCATAGAACAATTGTATGGTAATAAGGATTGCATAGAAGAAAGACATAGACATCGTTATGAAATCAATCCAAATTATATTAATGATTTAGAAGAAGCTGGATTGAAGTTCGTAGGTAAATCAGCATTAATTTTCTATATGTAATGTATATAATATATATATAATTATTATTATTATAATTTTGTTAGGTCATGATGAAGAAAATTTACGTATGGAAATAGCAGAATTAGAAGGACATAGTTATTATGTTGCGACACAATTCCATCCAGAATATTTGTCTAGACCACTGAAACCTTCACCACCATTTTTAGGACTAATTTTAGCTAGTGTCGGTAAATTAAAGCAATACTTGGTTAAAGGTTGTAAACTTTCACCTCAAGCAATCAGTGATAATGAATCAGGTAATAAGTAATAAATTATTTAATTTTACACTTTATACTTATAAATTTTATCATTATAACATAAAATTTAATCATTTATTTTTTTTTTTAATAGATAATGAATGTCTTGTTGATTCAATAGCAAAGCAACAAACAATAAGTGAAACTAGTATGAGTGGTAGTACTACATCTTACAATGATTTGATTGAATAGATATATTAATCATAAAAATAATTTTAATTATGATCTTTATAATAATATTATAAAGATTTAGAATACATGTTAACAGATTTATGATAATATGCTATATATTTAAATTATATAGTTTTATTATTGGATATGTATATATCACGTATATTATATACCAAAAAATGTCTATGTTATATAGTTTTATACCAAATAAACTAAAAAAATTTAAATATTAGCACATTTCTGATAAATTAGACTTTTTATTTTTCATAAAACAATATTTATGAAATGTTCAAGTTCTTCTTTCTCATCATTTCTGTAAATAAAAAAGTCTAAATAAGAAAGAAGAGCTTAATCCTTAATTTTATTAACTTTCATTGATTAATCATTTTCTATATTCCAGTCAAAATCAAATGAATTTAGAATTTTATATTTTTGGCAATTATATACTTATAATCATAATCGATCAATCCAGCTATAATCTCGGCGAATATTTATTTATAAATAATGTTTGTTATTTTTTTATTATTATAATTAAATATTAATTATAAAAAAATTTACAAAAAACTATTTTAAATATAAAAATTGTATTAAAATTACAAATTCACATAATGGATATTCATTAATGTTATTCAATTAATATTAATGAATTGAATTTGTTCAAGTTCTTTTATTTTTTAACTTTTATTATTCCAAATTTCTTTAATTATATAATCTGTATATTTTTTAATTTTCTTTTCATGTATATATATATATATATATATATATATATTTGTATAATTTCAATTAAAAAATGTAAAGTAAAAAATGTAATTTTATTATTATTTACAATGTATTTATGTTAAATTTTAAATATTTATCAAATTAAAATAACTTACATTCTATGTGAAGAAAAATTTAATGGTTTTCAGAATTATTGGATTTTTTTATAGTTTTTAATTATTTCATGACTTATATAAAAATTTAAAATAAAATTTTTATGGCAATTTTATAAAATTTTAATCTTGTTACAAATTATAATGTTTTAATTGGTTAACTAACTTTATTTCAAGGACTGATTGTTATAAAATCATAATTATAATTTCTTGTCTTTATTGAGCAGCACGTTCTGCTAAATGTAGTATATAAAATATACACTGGCATATTATTACAATAAAACATTTTCTTTGTATAAAAATGATATATATACATTCTCACTTATATGAATATTCGAATATTAATTGTTACTAAATTAATGTTAAATTACAGGACATTACATTACAATTCATACAAGAAATAAAATATCTGTAATACATAATAAACAAATATAAACAAAATAAATATAAAAAAAATTAAAATGCACTTTGGACGGTAAGCATTACAAATAATACTGAGAACACATTTAATGGAAAAAAGTAAAAAAGTATTTTATTTATTTATATATATATATATATATATTATATTATATATTATATATTATATATTATATATTATATATAATATATATAATATATATAATATAATGTTTCTAAAAATTTAGAAATATTTTATATGTACAATTCTTTTGTACATATCATTAATAAAAAAAATATAATCAATAGATCTTATAAAAATGCGTTTTGAAATTAATTTTTATTAATTTTATAATTAATGTTAAGTAGATTGTGAAATACGAAAAGAGATAAGAAAGAAATAAATAATTGTTCTCATTTTTTTTTAACATAATCAAAAGTAAACAAACAAATATCTAACATAATAATATCCTGCCGTTCAATCTAAATTTAAATATACATAATAAATATTTATGCACCTTGTAGCCTAAAATAATTATAGTCATATAATTAAATCGATTTCTTTACTTTACTTTTTATTATTACTAGCAATACTACGATTTATACTAATAAGTGTATGAAATAAATTTAAATAAATCTATTAATATACTTTCTCCTCATTGATTTTAATAATTTTTAATGACTTAAAGGATATTATTGTTATAAAATCATTTTGGATAACTTTTTCCTTTATATAAATAAATAGTTACTTATAAAGGAAAAATGATATCCTTCACGATATATTTCAAAGTCATTAAAATCGATGAGAAAAAAATAATTGATCTAAATTTAAAGATAAATCTTATATAATTAATCTAAATATAAAAATTTCTATTTAAAAAAATAAAATATTCTAAAATATATAAATGATATTTCTACATGCTTAGATTTTTTAACGCAATATTTGAATTCATAATTATATTATAATTATAATTTTTATATTATTTTCTGTAATGATGCATTGTACTATTACAAAAATAAAACAAACAATACAGTTTTAATATTCCTTATTTTTACCTTATCTTTTAAGGAAAATTTCAAAGATTTTTTCCAGTCCAGTATTTTCATTATTATAAGAGATTTGTAAAATTTGTTTATGTTAACTAATTAAATTTACCAGTCTCCATAAATCATTTTATACAGTTATTATTAAATCGAAACAGTAGAGAGATGTTTCTTTTTATTCTTTCTATAAAATCTTTCCTTATGACACTTCAAAGTGCACTTATAAGCATAATTTACTATATATTCTAGCACAATATTCAACTTTATATTTAAATAAACCATTCTTTCTTTTTTTGAACTTGATGTCCAGTGGCAGAATGAACTACTGCTGAATCTGGATCCAATGCTATTTCAGCACCTTTATCTTCTTGCGTTAAATATTCGCCTTTATGTCTCGACATATATCTTCCTATAAGTACAGCCATTATAATTAAAGCTATAATAATGACAGCTAATACACTTCCCAAAATTGCGGTGTCTGTTTCGTTGTAAGCAGCTCGAACTTTTTCTTCATCTACTTGAGGTGGTGGACGAGTTTCTATGATATCAGGTGGATGTGTAATCGGTTCCACACCACAAAAATCTTCAGTAAGAGGAGTGCCAAAAGAGCGAACATTTCCAGGTCCATCTTCTTGGAATAATAACTTTAATGGGTAAATATCATCAAATTCTACTCTAGATATGCAACCAGCAAAACCTTCAGTCATGGATTCATTTCTTCCAATATACATATATTGAATATTATTAAATTGTGCGTCAGCCGAGGTTTTAATGTTAAAGGAAAACTCTTTTGGTTCATAATTATCGACTTGTAATACAAGTATCGCTCCTGAATTTTTTCTGCCCACTCTAACATCATGATACTGTCCCAAACCAAAATGCTTATTAGGAAAAATTACTTCTTGCCGTTCAAAACCAAAATCGAAAACTACGCGTAAATGGCCACTGTTTGAAACCATAATTGTCATATATTCTCCAGAAATATTTGAAAAAAGTCCAAGTAGAAAACCTTTAGGATTCGTCGTTGTAAAACCAACTCTAATTTTTTCAGAAATTGTAGATCGCCAGCTACCCATAAAATCATACTTTATTATCGAACTTGGACGCATATTGACACCAATTTCTGTAACAGAACAAATTTAAACTTAAAATATAATTTTTATGATTTTAATATAATTACTATTATATGTCAAATAATTCAATTATAATTTCTAAAAATTAAAAAATAAAAATTTAAAAAGTAAAAAATTTTAATTGTTTTTTTTGTTTTTTTGAAATTGTTTGTTTTTTGAAATTGGTTGTTTGTAATTTTTTTATTTTTCATAATAAAAATAAAAGAAAAGAAACATACCATCTGCACAAATTGGACCTTTAAATGCAGTCCATCGACAATCGCAAGAATATCCATCATATCTTTCATGACATGTACCATTGTTAAGACAAGGGTTACTCTCACATTTGCCCGTGCAACCTTCAGAAATTCCATATAAATTTTGACGGGTATAACTTCTTAAATCTTGCAACTGTCCATTCAAAAGAAGCGCTCTAATACATCCTACGTAACCATCTCTATAATCTGTCGTAGCACCAACTACAAATTCTGATGTAAGATGAAGCGCTCGTACCGGTCCCGGAGGTTCTCTTACTTCATTTTTTAATGCTCCATCCACTACAATTCTAGCTTCTTTACGATTTCTTTCGACCGATACAGAATGCCATCGATTATCAGCTAATCTATATGAGGTTTGTACACTGACAGTAAGTGGACCACTACCCGCTAGATACTGGAACTGAATCTGATTTCCACTATTTATAGAGATTTTTATGTAATCTGTGGGCCCCTTGCTGTGAATTATAACAGCATTTTCAATGGTCGTTTTAAATTCAAAATAAATATCACCGCTATGACCAATATCGAAAGTTGGTAAGTTTATGGTGGCATCAACAATGCGGAATGTTACTACATTTTTGAACAAATCTACAATAAAATGAAATATTTTATTATCTTATAAAAAATTATTCAGATAAAATAAATACAAGTGACACATATTCGAGGATCAAATGTGAAAACTATAATTATTAAATACTAATTGCTATTATACTACAATACTTAATGTGCTTATAAAAATACAATTTACATATTTAAGTGATATAACTGTGTTAAATATAATCATATACCTATATTAAATGGTATCATATCTTACCTGATCTTACCTTGGTAGTCAACCAAGGTAAATCAGGACCTTATAAACAATTTAAAATAAATTAAATATTCTCGTTTATGTGCATAACATTAAGAAAACATTCTTAACTTACCATCTCCTTCACAAATAAGTGGTCCAAGTGTATAACGTCCTTCTTTATCATCAACTGGTGTACCAGTATCACCAAATCGCAATTGTTTAACTGGAAGATATTCTTTTTCTGTAATATCTCCACTATCTTCAAATAAACCATCCAAATCAGAGTCACAATTACACCACTTAGTAGGATCTGCACAATTTCCGAGTATACCACATTCGCATTTACGTGAACCTGGCAAAGCTCCTCCCCAATAATCCATTTTCTGATTATTTCTACTGACCCACCATGAATTTGGTTTGAAATAATCTCCTTGTGGTACTAAAATTATATATGAATATAAAATATTACATGTATATTATTCATAAAATTATTAAATAATAGATAATTACCTGGTGAATTAAACAACTTGGAATGTACACATTCGTAACTAATTCTCTGCCTACAATTAGTAGATCGATTTAAAAGAGCTTCGATTTGATCCATGTCCGCATCGTAAATAATATCTTGAACGAAACTA